CTGCTCTTAAAAGCATGCACACTTCTTGTGCATGGCTTCCCTGCAAACAGAACATCTGAGTCAACAGGTTTTCAGGACTGGAAACTCTGAGTGTTGTCTTAATTGTTTATACTGCTGCAGCAAACTTTTAAACAAAAATGCTTGGAGTTCCTTTGCATACTTTGCCTACCATATGCTGTACCAAACAAAACAATGACATTCTTTTAAAACCGTCTTGGCAACAGGAAAAATGCTTTGGCTAGACAGCATCATAAAAAGTTGCTGTTAGTTAGATGATAGAGTTATTGCAAGATACTGCTATTGATGCATGTATAAACATACTCACACACACTAACAGATAAATATGCACATACATATACATTGAATTAAAACGGGTTCTGGTCCTATTCATGTAGGAACTAGACAGTAAAGTACAACTTTAGAGCTGTTTCCTATAGGCAGTTGATGTGAGTCTTAAGCCATTACTTAGTAAATATCTATATTCTGAGCTGTTACTGTATAAGAGTTAGGGAAAACAACTGTGAAAGAGTTCAAAATACACCCTACCAAGGTTGCATTTTTTTGGCAGGAGCATTTTAGGAACAGAATCTTTTTTTCCAGTATGCAGAAGTCTGCATTACAAATTGGATCAGCTACAGCAACTTGTCCGGTTCTATTGAAGTCATCTGACAGTCCCTGCAACTCTTTATTGCCGAAGATGCTGTGCTAAGTTAAAAAAAAAAAAAAAGAAACAAACCCTCTCACTTCTAAAAGTTAAAGCTGCTTCATCTGATTTTATAAATTGCACTATAATTTTTACATGAAAGGGTTGTTTCTCAAGTAGTTTGCAGCTCACTTTCTGTCTTGATAAACTCCCCAAAAGGCTTCAGCCTTTTTCTTTCACCATCAGCTCTGCAACCCAGTACTTTACTGCAAGTACTCTGGCTTCACAGGCACAGTTTGGAGGACCCCGCTGCAGCCTGACTTTCTGCTCAAGATTGGTTAGAGAGCTTCCTCCCTGTGTGGCTGTCTGTGCTTAGCAAGTGTAATCTGTAGCCAAGACTAAGTCAGAAAAATCAAATTCCTTCAGAGTCCCGTCCCCCCCATCCCATTCCTCCTTCTCCCTCCCCCCAAGTCTCATCCTACGACCTCGCAGAAAACATTATTGCTGAGGAGAAGAAAAGAAGTTAATTGCAGTTCTGGCACAAAGGATATTTTACAGTTTTGTTTTTCAAGCACTCACCTGATTCCGCAAAAGTGATGATTTCTGAGGTTTGCTCCACAACTTCATTCATTTCGGCTCTTCTTCCAACATCATCCTCTATTTCCACATAACCATCCTCTCCCACCTTTCCCACATGGAGTTTTTTGATGGCATTTAAAAGTGCTGCCTTGGGCACCGGCTGGGTGATATTAGGTCTGTCCCTCAAGTGCAACATGTTCAGTATGTGCTTCTTTACTGCTTCCACCATCTCAGGCTGTGAGCTGGGCACATCCTTTGAGAGCGTGGCGAGGGCACATGATGGGCAGTCAGTGACTGAACTGTGCCCCTCGGATCCTGGGGTTGGGGAACTCCTCACTATAATCCAGCAAAGCACCAACAAAAATCCTCTCTTCCAAAGCAAAGGCATCCTGGCAGCAAAAGTTGTTGTGATTCCCTTTTTAAAAGGCCCTGCTTTTCCTCCCCCTTCACGCACAGTTTTTTTGGGGCTGGTTTGGTTTGTTTGTTTGTTTGTTTGTTTTTCCTTCTCTTCAGCAAATTCTCTGGAACAAGAACCAAAAGTTTTCTGTGAAGTTTTGTTTGCAGGTTCCCTCTCTGAATGCAATAATTGCTGTAGATGTTTGTGGCTGTCAGGGAGAAGAGTTCTGACTCTGTCTCAGAGTAGGAGAGAGACACAGAGAGAGGGAGAGAGAGAGAGAGGACGGATTGGCCTAAAGTGAGTGAGTGAATGAGAGAGGGAGGGAGTTTTGTCTGTGAGTAAAGGCTATGATTAGGAAGGGGGAGGAACAGGCAGGCTGGCTTCCTTATGCTCATTGCTCCCCTAACACACACCTCTCTTCAAATATCACTACTCGTGGTTTCTGCCCTCCCCCCCCCCCCAAATCTCTTTTCATTCCTGTAAATTTACTCTTTTTTTCTTTTTTTTTCTCTCCGTTTGACCCTCCTGGCTCCCCCCTAGCTGTCATTCCCCCTCCTTTTTTTGTCTCCCTTTTTTTTTTTTTTGTTTTATTTGTTTTATCCCTTCAACAGTATCAGTGGCTTAACTAAACAGAGAAAACATGAATGAATGAAAAGAGTGAAACCTTTTATTAACAAACACCTTGGTCTTGGTCCTGCCTGGTATTGTTAGGGATAGCAGGAGATGTTAAATAGCTTGTGAATGAGATGGGGATGAGGACAGGGGCTCTGAGTATTTTGGGCAGAACATTATTCTGCCTTGAGTAGAAGAGAAAAGATCTTTTCTGCTCGCTTCTAAATGCTGGAGGTTATCAACACTGGCAAGAGATCTGACGGGAGCAAAACAACACTGTTGTTTGGAGGGCTATATAATACATGATACGCTCTCCAGCTGCAATACGCCATCAGGCACTGAAAGCCTAAGCAGGAGTTGGTATGGCACATATCTGTGACATGCTAAGGTAGTGCCCTCGCACCAGAAATATCCCTACTTCTATGCTAAGCTGTGCCTAGAAGTTCTCAGGCAGATATATTTAGGTTTGGGGTTAATCAAGTAATGTCTGAAAAATGCTTTGAAGGTGAAAAGTGTTACATGTCATCTGGCCAAATCATACTCGCTCCTGACTCAGGCAAATCCCTCACTGATGCCAATAATAATTCTGTCTGAGGGAAGGCTGAGTAACATCTTCTACATTTGTCCCATTGTTATTAGAAGGCACTTTTTGTTTCATTCATTTAAACCACATAGAGCAATCATAATATTAGAATAAGACATGGGGAATGAAAAGCAATGTAAAACACTGCTAGGAGCTGGAGTTCCCTCAACCAAGGGTAGGTAGACCCTTGCCACTTTATGCCCATGAGAGTTTTGCTCTGCAGTGAAAAGGCATTCCCTGTGTCACTGCCATAGCTTCGTGTTGCCTTTACATTCTGTAGCCTGTCTGTTCTGTTCCTAGCCTAGCAAGGGTGAAGTTAGTAAACTCCCTCACATTTGAACTGGGTAATGGAAAATGAGAAAACTACAGCTGATGATAGACTCTAACTTTTGAGGTTCTTCCCGTCCGGACTTTGACTTGTACAGATTTTCTTAGAACAGCTTCTGCTTTTTTAGTATTTACCCTCTTTCTTTTCCTTCCTTTCACTCTCTCCCTCACACACCTCTGTCTTCTCAGGTGTGCTTACCTCCTACCCAGCAAATATTCCACTTTCACTATATTACCATCAATTATTGTAGTTTAGTGGAAAAGAGTAATTTATAAATATAAGCATTGTAAGGTCTCTAATTTCCGTGAGATGACTACAGGCACATGGGCTGAGAGACAGGCAAGGAATTATAGTTAGGGTAAATGAAACATACAGAAGTAATTGAACAATCAACCAAAGTTTTACAAATGTTATATATTGCAAGTCCTTTTCAATTAAGCTCTTTTATAAGTCTTTCACTGTTATAAGGCATCCACAGTACACCCTCATCTGTGTTTTACTGACCTCAGTTGCTATACTGTTATATACTGTTACACTTACAGGTCTGTCAGCATTATAAACCCTGCAGCCATTCTTATAAACACATCTTTGTAACACAAACCTCGCTATAATACATCTAAATTTCTTGGATCTTGTGAACAGCCCAAAGTCTGTTGTAATTATACGAAGTCTGAAAGTCAGCTTGAAATAGAACTAAAAGTTTAATTGGATGAAAAAATAATTTCAGATGAAAATATGCATTCATGATTAGATGTACTAACAGATGACATAATTAAAGGGGTTATTTATAGTTCTAATATAGCACCTATCCCAACAGTGTCTGATGAAAAGTAAGGGACAGGCATAAATCAATATAAAATACAGAAAAGTATATTTGGGTTCTTGCTGTGGGATATAGGTTGCTTGCCATATATAACAGGTACACTTATCACAGACAATCTCTATTACATATAGGTATAGCATATTTTACTTGCATGCCATGATGATGACAGATTTAACATTAAAGCATAACTTTCTAAAAACCACTGTTTTCTAAAAGCGAGTCTGCTGAGACCGCTGATATATAGTCCATTTGTACTTATATACATACACATATACATGTACAAAAATACATAGTGTTTGAATAAATATAGAAATGGTGGTTCAGACTCTTTCTATAAAATTACCTGAGCTGCAAAGCTCTGTATATGCATTCATTCAATATAGCCCTAACAGTATGCAACAGCATGCACAGGAATTAAAAGTTTCAGTTTTAAAAGAAAGAAGCTGGTTTAAAGTTTTACCTCTCTAGTCCTGACTCTCAGAAGGAGACTGCTGTATTGTGCATTAAGAACTGCTGAAGTTCCTCTTTGTGGTATTTATAATGCGAAGCTTTATACTGTACTTCTCATGTGTACACTCACATATAATGTCTGTCAAAAGTAAGTGGGACGGATCACTGTGCTGGATTGGTTAATCCTGTTACATCAGCAATTGACTGTTTTTCCTGTATGAGACATACTTTTGGTAATTATCTAATGGAAACTCCTAATTGTCTCGTATGACAAAATATCAACTTGTAGTGGTGATCTCTGTATCCATTTAAAGAATAGAACTTAAAATCAGACTGAAAGCAAACATTATGAGTCAGGAAGACACATTCCAACTTGTTTTATTGCATAGCTAGATATAGATATTATTAGATGTAGATATCACTGATTTAGTTCAAATACAGTATTTGCCAGCTACTTAATTACTAGTTTGCAAATTGTTTTCTTCTTCTTTCATACTTAAGGATATACCAGATAATCTATTTGCAAATTTGGATTCTTTTCAAATTCAGGAAAATGCATTTGATTAAGAAGCCTTTTGCTGTGGATGATTTTTTTAATTCAATCTTTTTATAAATATGCCATTCTGTTAACTTAGGGATCCCTGTAAAGCTCTTAAAAAATGAATCATATTGCTCTTGTCCAAGTCTCCTGGCTTCTTGACGTGCAGATTGCATCACACTATTAAAAACTGTTTAGACATCTAAAAATAAGTTACAATGAATGACAGGTCACATTTTTTGCTAGTGTGATATTAACACATGTGGAATAAAATAAAAAGCAATTTTCATTTCAGTTTACGTTACTGAAAATCAGAAATAACTGTATGCCAATTAGGCAGTACAAAAGTAATATATATAAGGTCAAAAGTAAATCCAAAATACTTCTCCTTTCTTAAACACACATAATAGCTGGCTTTATGTGGTACCGTTTATGACAAATGGCATGATCATGCAGTCTTTACTCATTCAAAACACCCACTGATTACCAGAAAATCCCCATCCTTCAGATTTTTTTTTTTTTTTGGCCTGAATCGTACTTATAATTGTATTTTTATGTCCTGTTGGTAATGTAAGTTTAATCTGTCTTGGAATATGGCTGATCTGGATCAGGGAAGAAAGATTTAAAATTTTCAACTTACAGTGATACCAGGGAGTTCTTATAGCAGCATTGATTCCAACTGGTGTGTGTGCTGTATTCACACAACAGCTTTGGTAGAATGAGCAAAAAATCAGGAGTTAATGGGAAACATACGACCAGATAGGTTGTTTTGTTTCCCAGGTTTAATATGCATATAATAAGTTTTCAGGCTGTAACATTCTGTGGATTGAAGCCTCTTGAAACAGGTTTCAGTAGCTTTCCTGCAATCTGACATTGGTGGTTCTAGTTGTTACAAAGAACAGGGTTTTTTTACCTTTTTTTTTTTTTTTTCCTTTCAGGAACAGTGACAGATATGCTTGAACAAACAAATAATGAGCATGCACATACCTAGTTATTTTAACGGGAATCCTAAAACTGAGTTTTAACAAAGGACTTTTCCAGCCTGGAATTCTGTTTTCCTCAGGACCAGACTGCATTTGGTTTTAACTGGCACCCTAAAACTCTTTGAAATTAGTTGCATACTGGTAGTGCAGTGACTGTTGTAATTTGGCAGCGGACATCTGCTCAGCAAGAGATCTTGTACTGCATTGGTTTTACAGAGAGTGGAAAAATTGCCCTGAAAGTAACGGAGTTATTTCTCCTTGGGCTCCGAGTAGCGCGGTGCTCCATTCACAGCAGCTGGTGCGACGGCTGCTGACCATCACACCGCTACTGATGCAGCACCCAGCCGGTCCGCAGCTTCTCCCACAACGGCAGCGGGTCAGAAAATTCCCTGTGCGAAAGTGTGTGGTCTGTGACAAAAAGAGAAGGCTACCTAGTGAAGCACAGCTAACATGTATGTGATTTATAGTGCAGGATAACTTCTGAAAGGAGATTAGGAGAAGTGAAAAGCATTATTCATTTCAGAGCATGCTCCTTATTGCCTCAGGGAATTTGTGTATAGCTTTACCAAAGGCCTAATGAAAGCTTTACTCAGTGACTAATTTTTTTTCACACCTATTTCTCTCTTTATAAATATTTTTCTCCCCACCCCTCCACTTCTTTTCATTTTGTTGAACACAGCAACACCTGCTGGCAGTGATCCGGGAGTACTGCTGGAAAGACCCACTGATCTAACTCTTCAGACCAGCTGCCATTAAGCATTGCCAAGCCATATTAATGAGCTGCCTCTATTTTTACCCCTTCCTGCCAGAAAGGGCAATTGCTCTTGGGAAAGACTGTAGCTGGGTTTTTTTTTTTTCCTTTTTTCTTTTTTTCTTTTTTTTTTTTTTTTTTTTCCTGGCAGCTTCAGAATCCAGATAATCATTGTTCATTTAGTGAAGTTGGGATTTCTAACTTAAATTCTGATACCACTGATTGAGACCACATAAAACACCGGAGTGATGCTGAGCCAATCTTGCTGGCTTGCAGGCATATTTTACTTCCCTGCTGGATCAGAAATAATTAAAGGAACGGGACTGAGAGATAAAGGTTAGTATTCTAGCAAACTTTTTTTTTTTCCCCTAATTGTGGATTTTATCTTACAAACCATTTAAAAAAAATGGCCCAATGCCACTTCATTATTCACCTAGTGGAGATTGTGTGACTTACCAGCTATGTTGGAATCCTGAATTGCACACAACAGTATTTGTGCATCTCCATTCCTGCTTTGAAGAGCCGTCACTAGAAAACACATTGGCACAGATTTCTGTGCAAATCAGCTGGAATCTCACTCTGTTGTACCTTATTTTACTGTAATAGCAAAAAAAGATATGCCAGAAACTTATATTTAGAAGTTTTATGTTTCTACTTTTATGTAAGTGGACCAATTAAGGCCAGTCTCGCTGTTGCTGCTAACTCTAATGCTTATGTGCTGTTTAGAGGGGCCAGTGATTTCAATCATAATTAGTGAGTGGGTCAAAAAATAAAGTTCATCTGAGGATAAGAACTTGGTCTAGAGGGTGGGCTAAAGAATAGCTTTCAAGTTCTCGCTTTTTTTTTTTTTTTCATTAATGGATGACACTTTTTGCGGGGGGGCAGGATAAGTATAAATGCTCTGTTTGAAGAGAATCTTACATAAAGTCAATCTGACTAACAGAAATAAGTATGTTGATTTTCTTTCTAAACTATACCTGTGTCTTCTGCCATGTCATTCATTGATCTTTTTTCTTGCCAACTCATGGAACAGTAAGCTGTTTCTTTAACAGGTTTATTTTTATGTCTGTGTTATTTTAGCATATGTGTCGCAATTTTACACTTAAAAACCAGGAGATACGTATACATAAGCCAGGTGACACAGATGTGTGAGATGAAATGACACAAATGTGTTTTATAATCAGAGCTTGTTCAAAACTTTGCATTTTGGGGGAAAACCTATTTACAAAGAGAATTTTCTTGAATTTTTAGAGTATGGAGTTAAGTTATAACTGTAGAGGGTAGTCCAAAGAACTAAAGATGTTCACATCGCCTGTTCATTTGACAGGCAATTTTTCAGTACATTACCGGAAAAGTAATTTTTTTTGTTGAGAAACAGCTATGTAATGTGTAAAATGTCTTGAGTGATGCTGTCTTCAAAGATATTTCCAGAGGTTATGATTAGAGTCACATTGTGATTTAAACCAAACAGGGAGGGAGCCCCAGATGACAGATCCTATTTGGTTCCAAGTAGGGTGAAAAATTTATGGCTATAGTTGGAGCAGCATTTAACATTTATGGGTGAATTAAAGCTATTATTGAAAGGTAGATTCCATGAAATTAATTTGCATGCTGTTGAAAACTTCAACTGTTGCACAAAACATACATCGAAGTCATTCATTATGCAATTGTACTTCGATCAGTGGAGTTTTATCAAGGATATATTTGGGTCAGCTGCAAAATAACGGGGAATAATTTTATTTCTCTGACAAGCCCTGAATTCTCTGTTCTGTGTTTCTTTTACTACAGTTAGTCAAATCACAGCACACACAATGGTGTAAGTGCAGAGTCCTGTTATCTTTTAGCTTTTAGGGCCAATTCTTGATGCCACTGAAGCTAGTGCTGACTGTGGGACCAGAAGTCAGTTGAATCAAGCTTTGACTCTGAAGGTTAATATTAACCATTGGTGAATGGAAAGAGAAACAAGAAATTAGGTCCTAGATAAAAGCTGTTCAGATGATTATTCACTGATGTACTTCCCAAAGTAATATTGCCTGTGGATTTTAGCAAGATATACATCTCTGTTTGGAAGAGGAGGGCTGGACCCTTAGTTAATGTAAATTGGGGTAGCTCTCCTGACTTTAGAGACTGGGTTACATCAGTAGAAAATTTGATGTAAAGTCTTTTTTTTTAATTGAACTTCTACGTATTAATGTCTGGTTTTGGGCTTTTCCTTTTAAAAACAGATCCCAGTCTTCATATTATAAGAAAGGTCCAATATTTCATCTTGTTTTAGCTCCCTCGATGATGGAGATGATACATTTTGCCTATTATGTTTTGATTACTTCTAAATCTGCTGACGTGTGGGAGGGAACTGAATGAAGGTCATAAGCTTGCCATTTTCGTTGAGTTGAACTCAACAAGAAGTTACGCTGGCAAATCTTCCAAGGTAGTCCTCGTGCACAGGCCATTGGGAAAAGCTGCAGTGTCACACATTGACAGATATTCCCTCTCTGTGACAGTAGCCAGCAGAGAATTGGCATAAGTGAAATACTGAGGGCACCAACAAGTGGCTTAAAAATTATATGTTAATCTTGTGCATCATTGCTGCTTTGTCCATTGAGAATCCCCTGTGGAGCAAATCACTGTGGAAAAGTAAATACATCGTGCAGTGAAAATTGTAGGGGGAAGCCCCACTGCTTACAACTGTTTGCTGACTAGAGTATGAGATGGGGACCCAGGAGATCTGGATTCTCTAGCTCTGCCCTCGACTGCTGGGTAAGATGACATGTACCTCATTTCCCCATCTGTAAAAAAGAAAGAA